TGCATTGCACCGGCCAGGACTTATTGATTGAGAGGAGCGGCATTCTTAAAGCCAAGGTACGACCTCTCACACAGCAGTAGGTGAGCGGGGACTGCTTGCCATCGTACAAGCTCCTGGCTAGTTGGAGTGTGAGAATGCCCTCAGAGATGTAATCTGAACACGCACACTGCAGTCAAGTCTCAAAGACTTGAGAGGGAGTAGCGGGAGCTGAGACGAGTCCAGCTCAGAATTCTGTCTTGCTTTGGAGCGCTGCTGGAAGCACTCAAGCAACCTGATGATAGACATTACCCGGCTGCAAGCACAGCTCTACATCTCCAATCTTCTCAGAAATGTTGAAAACCCTCCAAAGCCCTCAGATACAGCTGTGAGGCCCAGTGAAGATGAGGACCGTGAGAACCTGTTCAACGGGCTGTCATGGCAAGAAAGCCAATGGCATCTAGCGCTCCCCCTCCAGACTCGGTCAAGTCACTGCTAGAAAGCCAATGGCATCCAGGTTCTGCCAGAGGAAGCTCGGAAATTCCCAGAGGATGCTGCCCACCCCCATCGTGCGCGGTGGCTGTCTTTAAGGCTCTTTGGTCTCAGCGGTGCTTGAGGATGGACGGCTGTTTTGCCGTTTTTGCTGTATGCTGCGGTCTGCGCTGCATTTGCTAATCAGGGGTGGACAGATTTTGTTCACATTGCAAGAACCACGTTTAGGTCAGGAGGAGGTGTTGAATGATTTCAGTAGCTGAATACCACTCTACCTAGGGCATACATTGATCTAGAATGTAGCCCCTGAGCAGCAAGTATATATTAGTCGCGTGTTCAGCGGTTTGTTCCGCGCCTGTTGAACCAGCAGCTGCCCATGCTCGTTGCTTGAAGGATGTCCATCGCTGAGCTTGACTAGCAGCCGGCTTTACAGGCAGGTTCATTATCAAAAGAAGCTGTCCCCACGTACAAGGCCGTGGTCGACCTAGAGTCTGAGGCACGGACATCACACGTTGAAGGCACGTCCGCAAAGGCCATTGCCCTCAGCGAGTGAAAGAGTCATGTCCGTCACCGTTCTGGTCGCGCACGAGCGGAAGCTCAGGTGCAGGCTCGAAGAGGCGGACCTGTTTCGCCTGAGTTCAAAGAACCAGCTTCCCCGCTGTACCTACTTGCACCACTTAGGCTACGGGCAGTTGTGACAGACGACCCCTTGGCTGCTGCATGGTGGCTCCTGGACACCTTGCAAAGAAATACAAATGGACGAAGGGCAGGCTCCAGATGGCTCCAGAGCTTCTAGATTTCGCCTGCGGGATAATGCATTCCTTGCCAGCAGCTCGAAAAGCAACCTTGGTTCTTCCCAGAATTCACCTTCATCATGGAACATCATGGGATATCACAGATTGCATCCCGAGTGAGCTCGTTCCAAAGTTCGAGTTCTACAGCAAGGATGATTGTAAGTAAGAGTGCTGCCCTTGTCCAGTAGTCCCAGCCTCGAGTGAAGCTTGGGACATGGCTTCTGCAAAGGATTTCCGATGAGCAAGTGCGAAGCACATCCCCGGCAAGGCAGAGGTGCTTGCCCATTGTCGGTGCAATTGGCCACACCTGCGAGACAGCATGCTCGCAAAAGCTAGCACAAACTAACGTTCATTCTGGATCTGTGACAAGGAAAGCGCTGACTTCAGCTGGTGCCATGTGCAAAGGTGTCCGATGTGTTGCCACAGTATGTCGTTCTGTGCGTCGGGGCCTTTCGGAGTTCCTGCCATGCTCTCCGCACCAGCAGGAATCCCAAGCCTGTGCTTTTCATGGAAGTGGCTACCGAAAAGCCAGTCAACACGAGCTGAGCGGGCCTGGAAAGTAGGAAGTACGCTGAAGGCCGCAAGGATCCACTGCTGTGCCCTGCAGTCTCCGATCTCGAGCTGTGCTCATCATTTTGCAGCAGGATCTTCATATGGTAATTTCCCCAAAATAGGTGACCCTAAGATAGACCCCAGTGCAGCATATTATAATCCTTATAACACGGACCCGCTAGAAAGGTACCCATAAGCTAGGGAAACCCCCATACTAAGCTACTCCAATAACAAACGGCTCCCGTCCTTGAAGCCGAAATCGTTCCAAGCGCTGATGCACCAAAGACTGTGGTCCTCCAAGGCTGGTGGGCACCTTTAAAAGGGTATGTAGGGGGATATAGGGGGACATAGGGGAATATAGGGGAATATAGGGGAATATAGGGGAATATAGGGGAATATAGGGGTATATAGGGGTATATAAGGGGATAAAGGGGCTATACAGTGGTTATATAGCGTTTAGGGTTTGGGGGGGGGGGTCCCTAAGTTATGGGTACCTTTTTGAGGTGTCCCTATGATAAGGAATATAGTAAATTGGGTTCGATATTCCAGTCCAGCGAAAGCATAATTCCCTGTGCAATCCCAGTGTCCATGTCATGTCCTCTGTTCTTTTCCATCTGATGTTCCGTTATGTAAGAATATGGGAAACATTGACTGTAGCTCATGTACATGTATCTATATATATATATATACGCACATGATTTTTACCTTCTCAAAACACAAATAGTCTTCACTTCATTTTCCATTTGACAGTCGAAATTTGATTCTCCATCATTAGGGCGATATCCCCCTGAACCCTAAACCATAAATAATAGCTTCCATGTTCCTTTCCATTATCCCTATAATTTGATGCATCAAGGCCTGCCTGATCCAGTACGCCAGTTGTACCTTAGCTTGTCTCGGGCTTTCATGGACATTGGAGAATCAAATAGAAAAAAACAAAACGAAAATGAAACGGAGACTAATTTACATAGGAAGTATATATATATATATATCTAATATGTGGATGCTCTTACTCTGACTATGGAAAAGATGCTGGAGCTTTACCGAGATGCTGCGAAATAGAGCAAGAAAGTCTGGTGCAAAAAGGAGATCTTCCTCCACCTTCAACGCCACTTAACCACGTGACAGCAAACGGGCAACACAAATGCTGAGTCCTGCACAAATATCGCCTGTTCATGCGCCTTCTCCATAAAAGCCCTGCAGACAAGGAGTTGTCGTGCTCCATGACGCTTGCTTCCATCTGGGTCCCTGGCTTCTCAAAGGCTACCCAGTAATGGTGGGCAATCTTCCCAGTGTTTGTCTTGAGCCACTTTGACGTCGCCTTTGCAAGCATAGGATGTCACCGCTGCACGGCTGGTGCCTGACCGCAGCCTGGTTGACCTTGCCTTCGGCTTCGGTCGCTTGAGGCCCCACCTGTCTCATCAAATATGCCAACCCACCTCACCAGGGACGACAATGTCAGGTGGGGGCCTGCCAAACCTCAATGTTCACTCCTCGAGCAGCCGCAACCTGTTCGACGACAAATGATCGGCTTGCAACATCAGATTGACGTTACCTCTCGCCGTGCCTTTTTGGCAGCAGCGGCCATTGATGTCCACGCTGCTGGATCATCTAGCGATATATACACAGTGAACAACACCACCTGACGAAACACTGTGGCAACTTTGCAACTGCTTGGCATGAAGGATCGCTGACTGCCTCTGGTATTGCAAACAGCGATTCCAGGCACCTCCTTCGGTCGACAGACAGCATATAGGAGGTCGCTTCCACCAAGCACCCACCACAAGCAAAGCACCTGAAATCGGCTTCCCGATTGTGTGCCAGTATGACCTCAGCTGCAATTCAAATGATCCACATCCTTTCAGGCAGGATTACAGATGCTTGCAGATGATCCTGGGTAGCGAGATACTGCATAACCTCATACAACCTCCGAGGGCAGAACGATCGCTGAACCCTTCAGGTCTTTGCCAAAGGGATTTGGGTGGATGTTGGCAGGCTGCTCCTGAAAGCCATTTGCAGCCAAGTTTGGGTTCAGCAGCAGTGGAGAGTCCCATCCTCATTGCAAGCTGCATCGTAGTTGCATTCTTTCAAGAACCTGAGATCATCATCATCAATATTAATATTACTACTATTACTACCAACATTACTGACATTACTACTAAATTTCGTACTATTATTATCAGTACATGCTAGCTGGCAAGGCTGCTTCAGCACAAATGCCCTAAGCGTCTTGCGATACCTCTCCGCTGGGAGATGTCTTCGGCTGGGCTGAGGCCCTGCACCATGTTAATATATGACTCTAGTACTATAGTACTATAGTAATATAGTACTCTATATATATATATATTGTTACAATTCTACATTACTATAATATTGCATATACTAATACTACTATAATGAGCAGCAAAGGTTCTGCTAGGGCTGCTTGTGACCCTACGCCTGCCTGGCCGTGCACTGTACTGCCTACGCAAATCAGACTTGCTACAGCTCGGAACAAGTCATGCGCAAGGGATAGAATCTGCCTCTTCTGGATTCGCCCCGGCTTTCTCGCAGGTAACCCCACCGCAAGATTTACCTGTCTCTGCAGCTCCATACAAAACATTTTTGCGATCCAGAGCGTTCATGCGGAAAAATCGCTGCCAGGAACACCAATGTTGGCGCAAACCTCTTTGGCGTCAGACAGCCTATCCAGAATAACAGCCGTTTCTCCATGGCTTGCGTTGCCAAAGTCGTATGGAAAAGCAATCCATCAGCAGGCACCCTTTGGGATGTCCGTCGTCAGCAGATTCTGGCAGGAAGGACCCATGCACTCGCTTCCAGGTGCAGCCTTGACGTGGTCTTTGCCAGAGCAGAGACCACAACCAAGCGAATGTGGGAAAGGCTGAGTGTGCCGCGAACATTTAGCTTGAGGCTCGTGGTAAGCCTAGCCAGCATGTGGCGGATTTGCTCCTCCTAGCTGAACGCCTCCTCAAGCGAATGTAGGGCAACTGCAAAGGGCTATCCACCCTGTCGCCACAGATTGGACCTAACCATGGCAATGAGCGTGTCTATGTTCCGACGGGCCTGGCAGACCGCTCAGATGCAGACACTTCGATGTCATTTTCAATGGCGTTGGAGGTGACGTGACTTCCTTCCAAGAAAAATCAACACCCAAGCTGTACCTCGAGTGCTGAGCCTGCCTGTATCTGTGATGGGGACTGATGCTGGATGGTTTGTGGAATTTGTGGAGGTGCAGGTGCCGCTTGAGGCCTGTCAAGCTCACAGCGTTCGCTCATGCCCTAACTCCTGATATATTCGCTTTTGTATATAGGGTTACACAGAGAGGCGTTTGAGAAAAAATGTAACTACTATTTAGGGGGACAGCAGAAAGGCTTTCCTGAGAGCGCCACGCTTGCTTTTGAGATGTTGTGATTTCAGCCTGACACAGACCATACGAAGCCAATTACCGGCAATCCCTTTAACCCAAAAAGCCCCTAAGTAACCCCTACATGAAGTATAAACCCTATATATTATATATCCCTGTATAATCCCTAGATATCCCCTTCTGAATGGAGCCACAAAGACCCAAGAACCAGATCTACAGTTTTAGCCATCACAACTACAGTTCTCCTCGCCTGTGGCGCCTGTGTTTGGGGCGCCGCTTCGCTGCGTCTGAGCTGCCCGTGTTCGGACTCAGCATTTTGCAAGCAACTTTTAGCAAGCTGAGGAAGCTGGGAGCTCTGTTCATGATATTCATAAAATTTCTGCAAGCTTGGCTAGGTATACAGGCTCCGAGGCCCTGACGAGCACGGTGGTTGCAGCTTCACGGTATCCTGATCCACAGTCCCATGGCGCCATGGCGCCCGGGGAGCACAACAACAGATCCAAAATCTGTCCTGGAGGCACATCATAGAGCTTGGAGATATCAAGCTCTGGCAGATCCTGTTCTAGATTACGGTCAGCAAGGTACTTTAACCCTGTATTTAGTGATCAATCAAGCGCAACAGGCTTCGCCTTGTAAGATGCTTCTTCAGCTTGCCATAGCTGTCTCAGATAGCCTTGGAGAAAAATTGTTGCCATCATGCCAGCCATGGATGCTGAAGACACTTGCCACAGAATGCTCGGATGTATGCCTCATCACCTTCCCTGAAAGCACAGCCTAGCTTTGAGAAACAGTAATGATAATAATAATAATGGTAATAATCAGCGGTATAGGCGTGAAAAATCATAGTAATAATGCGTAATAGCAACAGAAATGTCAACTCTGGGGCGGCAGCGGAAGCTGATGAGGCACACTGTCAGATTTGCCTCGGTACCAAGCTTGCCCAAGTCACCATGCACTACTCGCGTCCACAACACGACTTCACTAGACCTTGGCTTCTGAAAGTCCAAGACTGAGCAACACCCTTATGGTTTTGCTCAGTCTGGTCACTAACAACCCCTTGAGATCATGCTGTTCATGATCTCCTGGCCATGTGAGATCTGGGTCCAACCCTTGGATCTGATGTTCAGCATTGTAAGCTCTAAGCTCTACGAATAGAAAGCACTGATTGATCAAGTTCGCCTAACACACCAGGGCTCTCAGCCCAAGCAAGACTGATCGCCACAGCTGTGCTTTCAATTTTGCTCCCTCCATGCACGGCCCCGTGTGGGTCAAGTACGCGGTAATTAGGACACAAACGGCACGACGCGCTCGCCACAACCGCTGGCATCAGTCCAGCAATTGTCAGCTTTAGCACTTCATCATCATCTGCATCTGCAGAATTCAGCATTCCAGCTTTCGACTGCACATCTCTTTGCCGCAGCCAGGCTGAGCACCGCGCTATGATGAGGGCAGTCAACGCCGCACGTTGGCAGCTCGACGGTCCAGCCTGTACTGCAATTTAATTTGCGCATGCATCCAGGCGTAATGTGCGCAGGACTGGTGTAATTACGCGTGTGAATCTTGAGAGAGGGGCAGGCGCTGCTTTGCCTGAACCTCGATGTGCTTTCCTGACAGACCAACATTCTTGCAGCTCCTACGAGTGCATTTGAAACATTTTGGAACCTGTCATGTTTTTTTTGGTCTGAAGCTACCATGGCCTCCCGGTACGGCGGCCGTTCCTCAGAGTTTTCCCCCAGCTTCATCGTTCAGTCAGCTTCAAAATGCAAAATGCAGCAGTCAGGATTCATGTCAATGATTTCAGATGCTGCGTTCGCTTGAAATAGGAGCCCTGCCCGGTAGCCCACATCTTCTTGACTAGCCATGGCGTGTGAACAACGCCTATACAAGTGTCTGACTTACTCGCCTTCTGGCAGAAAACCAGCCCGTACTTGACGCTTGAGATTTGCATCTGAGTTGGTGAGGCTTGTAGGTTGGAAGATATGACTTTGTCTGGCAAACGGCCAGGTCATTGCTCTTGTGATTGTCTTCAGATTTGCTGCCACGTGCTGAGACAGACGCGAGGAAGGCGTGACTGCAGAGCGTCATTTACTCTCTGCGGCGACTCGACAGAGGAGTCACTTCAGCATCACAGGAATGTACCAACTGCTTTTTCTGCGCGCGTGAAACAGAGCTGAACGGAACAGAGGGCAGCGGTGTTATCGATCGCAAACAACCCTGGCCCCCTACCGCTCTGTAGAATCTGCCAGGGCCTTGACAAATCCAACCCACTGCCGTTGCTCCTCAGAAAGTCCTGATGGCCCAATCATCCACCAAGCATGGAGAGCTGCAGCCTCAGGTGCAAAGAAACAGGGTTCAACCATGTGTGGGAACATTGTGCAGGAACGCCTCATGCCCTGGGCAATGCGAGTATGCACAGCAAACCCACGATCTCATGAGGCTGGTGCACTCCTTCGTCTGGATTGACGTGCTTGATACGAACCTGTCAGGTACGGAGATCCCTAGGTATACTGGGAGACGCACAGTCTGCACTCGCAGACCACTGCCTCCACCTCATCGTCGACAGACATCTCCTCCTGTGGGCCGCAAGCTTCGGCCACGAATCTCTCACGCAACCGCTACACGGGTTCAAACCGTCCTCAAGCCTATGGATGAAACCGTCGCGCACTTCGTTCTTGTGAACCAGACCTGGGTAGCTTCAATTGCAGCGTGTCTTTGGAAGTTGCAGCGGAAAATACCTTGATGGATCATCGAGGCGTGCCTTGTGCTGGTTGCCCGCCAGAGGGTGGCGCTACGCTGACAAAGGCCCCAAAATTGAGGATGCGGGTGACTGTGCCTGGCAAGCAAGATCAGACCAGGCAAGACAAAGTTCACAAGCCTCTCAAATGCTCTCAAGATATTGAAGCTACACCCTATCGTACAGCCTTTGTGGAACTTTTCCTTTGCACGGCAAGACCCATGAACTGTGCCGGTGTGGACCCTTGAGCCACATGTCGCCAGAGAGGCCGGAGAAGCCAGAGAGGTCTACTTTCCTGGTAGCGGTGTTGGCTTCACAGTGGAATGGATTTGGGTGCTTCATTGAGATGAGTTCTCGCTCTTCCGAGGTGTGTACGGCTTCGGGCCCTTGCTTCCAATCTTGTCTTTGATCGTTGCCTCAGCAAAGGGCTCTTCGCAACACTGCACTCTTATCCCTTGCATTCCCTTGCTTTTGGAGATTTGAGCTTGGCGCCAGCCATAGCCTCTGCTGCCCGTCCTTTCACACACAATTACGAATCACTCGGGAGATGGCACCAGACAGGACCGGCAAATCTGGGCAACAACTGCCTGCCTTGTCTGTCATCACAGACTCAACGAAAACATCTACCTAGCAAGCGCTTAAAGCAGTTGAAGCCAAGGGCACTCAATCAGCCACGAGCTCTTGCAAAGGTGCAGCTGCTTTTGCAGGACGCCTTCTAGCAGATTTTAGCATGCAAGGTAAGCAAATGCATGCGCACAGCATGCAGTGGTCGGCATGGCCATTGTACAACGCTGGTCTTTGCAGCATCTTGAAGGACAAACTAAGCGAAAACAGACGCCGTGCCCTCCTTCACGGTCACCGACTACAGCCAACTGGTGAAATGCTCAGTGAGGACTGCTTGAGGATGCTCTTCTGCCTGGAGGAAGACAATCTATGATTTTTGTGTGTGTGCGCGTGCAGTTCCACACGGACTGTTGCAACATGGTAGCTTCATACTGACCTGTTCGATTCCAGGATTCAGGCTTGCACTCTTTGCATCACGACTGGCACAACACTGCTCGTTTTGACCACCTTGCGGCAAAGCGGCCTGGCCGCGAAAAAGCCGTCCGCGGACATGTAAAGGCAGCGGCTTCTGTCACCAGCCTGCCAACTGATCAGCACTTTCTCCGCGTAAGCACAGCTTTAGCAATCTGCCTTGAGACCAGCGAGCGCGAGTGGGGCATTGGAGGCAGTGCCTGCTGCATGAGCGGCATGAGTAGCTGCGTATAGAGATTCGTCAACACCGGGGGATTTGGGAGGGTTATGCCTCCGGGATGATGAACAAGCTGATTTTTGATTCATGTTCAAGCCTTAGCTATGGTTGACATACTGCTCCATCTTCACGCTTAACCAAATTTCCAGAGATCTGCCGCGTGATGTTTGTTCTGCCCACACCCTCAAGATTGCGCGAGGGAGCGCTTAAAGGTCCGCCCTGAGGTACCCATCTACCCTCCTTCAGCAGAAGGTGACGCTTTCAGGTGAACCGGGCCCACGGGGCATCAGCTAGTACCATCTTACCTGATACAGGTGGTGTCTTGTGCCATCAGCCACATATCGAAACAGGTCGGGAAATGAGGATAGCTCAGTGGCTGCACGTGACCCTTTACACATAGATAGTGCTTTTGTAGAAGACTGCTGCAGACAGACAAGAAGCGCATGCCTCGTGTCTTCCTCTGCAGAAATCGCGGAAGCGGGCGCTCCGCTTCCAGCGCAGGCCCTGACACCACGTGACACTCGTCCCAAAGTCTTAGCTGACTGGGCTGTGGAAAAACTGTTTGGCTCCAAACCTAGATAAGCCGCAGGATGATGTAAGAGGATTATGCTGCATCAGGCGATTAGAGCTGAGATCGATCATCTGCAACATTACTTAGCATCGCCATCTGATTTGATTGATGGAACTGACACTTGCTGTAGGGCTAGTGGCAACATTCCCCATACGCCATGGGTGTTGAGCCTCGCGCAGAAGATCTCCGACAAAACTGCGCAAAGGCCCACCGCTGTTCTCGCCCAACCAGGGGGCCTGTCCAGCCTGAGCCAGCTAAGGCTTCTCTCAATTGCCACCCATACTGCTGCATCATGTTTAGTGAATTTTGAGAAGTTCATCCGGTGCACATCTCCAATCCTTTCCTCCGCAGGTGTTTGCTTTACTACATTTGCCCCAAGCCCTGAAATATCACGGCGCATGGGCATCGGAATGTTCGGAGGTGGTCGGATCTTCACGGGATAGCGGCACTAGTCCAGGGCACCATCCTTGATGTGTGGTGGGTGCTTCTGAAAGTCAAGAAAGGGAAGAACATGGAAGAACCGTTCAGTTGGAGTTGAACACTTAGAACAGATCCCTGCAAGTGCAGAAGATCGGCTGATTTCGTGCATGCTACCAGCACTACGAAACAAGAAAATGAGGAAGAACTTGAGGCAGCATCGTCACGGGCAACACACAATGTAAATGACGCCTTTCAAAAGACCTTTCGGGGATTCAGAAAGAAGTTTTTAGGATTCCTAGTGGTGACCGTGACTATGACCCAGGCAACCGGTAATTAACATACTGCTTAGCATCAATTGCTTGCTCCAGTCTGGCCTGAACCTCATCCAGCAGAGTTCCAGACTTCACCCAAATAAGGTCCTCCACTTCCAGGTGCGGGGGATGCACGGCAGGGGCTCCAGCAGCCAAGGCAGAGGCGGCCACCGAAGCTGCGGCCAAAGCTCGGTGCCGCCGCTTGCTGAAGCTGACCACTACGGCTTGCCGCTCGCTGCAGGACAAAGGGCCCAAGCTAACCATCCGCAGAACTGCAGGACGTGGGCCGCGTGGGTTTGATTGCCAGGGCCAAAACGATACCGGTGCCGAACACTCCGACTCCAGGCAGTCTTGCAGCTGATCTTGGCTTCCTAAAACCCCAAGGCCTTCCTCAGTGGCCTCTCGCGCCATGGCAGCTGTCAGCCCTTCATCGTTTGGGTCGACAAGGCCCCAAAGAGGGCCAACTTGGGGTGTTGGCCACCAGGGTCTGCTCTCCACACCAAGTAAGAACTCCACCGATTCAACCTCTGACGCTGGGACTTGGCAAGCCACAAGCACACCAGCAGCCAGGTTCGCATCTCCCCACCAAGTTGGCACTTGCCGAACTTTGCCAAGCGTGTGACCTTGCAAAGAGAAGATGCCTTGTGCCAGGTCGACATCAACTTGGCCGAACGGTGGCCAGTGGACTGCAAAGCCAGTGTCAGCAGACTGTCGAGCAGAAAGCTCTGCGCCCGTCTCTTCAGGCACCCAGTCCCATCTGTGTTCTGAGATAGGTTGCCATTGCCACCTTCCTGGCTTGGTTGACATAAAGCTATACTCCCTTGTTGCCTGTCCGCAGAAAACAGCTACAGTAGCGTACAAAACATGGCTTCCCTGGGCATCTCTGGGCACTGAGGTCAGAGAGTTTTTTTTACAGGTGCCTAGGGTGAGCCAGAAGTAGACAGTCCTACCGGACAATGCCACAATTCCTGGACAATCCTCAGCATGCCCCGATGCGAGCGCAGTATGTAGATCTTGTGGGTCCCCTGCCGACCCTCTAACTGGGTTGCTGTTAAGGAACTTAAATCAAATTACCATAATGGGTCAATGTAGATAGGGTTTCCCCAGTATAGTGACTTGAACTAAGTTACTTATCCGGGTGGTGTTTGTCCCAACCTTGCTTCCCTCCTCAAGCTCTGCAAGACGAATCAGCTCCATCTTGGACGTGTCCGCCCTGGCGTGCAATCAAAGTACAGCGCGCTTACTATAATATGATATAGTCTAATAAACTATACAAAATAATATAATGTAACAGTAGTATTGATGTTTAACACTGTCATCGTTCGAGTGCCGATGACGTGTAACGTTGTTGTCGATTGTCGCTCTCGTCCCTATCATCATCATCATCATCATCATCATCATCATCATCATCATCATCTCTATGAAGCAACAGCATCGACGAAGGAGTGTCAGTGAAACTTGCGAGGCCATCTTGGGCCCACACGTGTACTCCACATCGTCCTCCTCCCATGCTATGTGGCAAGTGCCATCTCCGTTATCCTGGCGCAGGTCATAAGCAGAAAGTAAATGCGGAGCGAATTGCACGGGCAAGGTGCCTTGAGGACTGTTGCTTCGTAGTATTCCTCGTCCTCCTCATAGAACGCCTATACAAGACCAAGAGGATGCAAGTCCACTCAGCGAAAGGTAGGGCCAAGTACAATCCAAGAGGTGGGACGGACCTTGACCTTGTCCCCCTGCTTGTACGTGGGCTCTTCGCCCTCGAATGTGAACCAAGGCTTCAACAGGCCTCAATCTGCACTGGCGGTCACATCGCAGGCCGCAGAATGGCTGCGTATCGCTGGCTCTTCCCTGACTGAGAGTCAGTCCGTCTCGCTCAGCACCTATGTCCACAAAGGTTCCAAAACTGAAGGTCCTGGTGCAAGGATGGTTACTTGGACGTTTGGCAAAGAGAGCTGGATGCGTTGTGGCACCAATGCTGTCCTAGCAACGGTGCCTGTGAATTTCTGGTGTGGCCTCGGTGTAATGCTTCTGCTGCCAGCTAAGCACAACTATCTACAGCTATCTGTGGTCACCGGATGTCACTGTAGCATTGGCCCCATGCTTTAGATCAGAAAGCCGGATTGGCAGCGTCGTGAGCTTCAAATCTTCTTCCCTTAGTGCGAAGTGAGTGCCACGAGCATGGAACTAGGCTTGGCACAGCACTTCACTGCATACTTACAGACTGAATGCTAGAAAACTGTATCTTGCATGGGCCGCAGCTGAAGCTCATACTCCTCGCCTCGTGAAATCCAGACTCACACAAGCTACACGCGGCCTTCATGCTTTCCGGGACTATCCGAAGACGTCTGGGTGTGATGCCATCTTCGTCCCAGATCACCGTGTAGGAGCCAGAGTCATTAACGCATTTTATGCGTGCCTTGAACCGAGAATTACAGTATTGCTCAGCAAACCCAGGTATAAGACAAAACTTGATCAAGCCCCAGTTCTTTGCTCCACGCTGTGTACCACTTCTCCTCGTCGTGGTAGAAGCCTTCTACCTTGTTTCCTGCCTCAAAGGGTCACGACCGAGTAACTTCTGAGAAGCCCACGTTCTGCCGGGCACCAAGCTGAGAAGCGAAAACGTTTTTCAGTTCGTTTGAGGAGCCTGACAGGGCCCAAGACGTGACGTAACGGTCAAAGCACTAAGCAAGCTATAATGTGACCCTACCTCATGTTGCTTGCACTCTGGGTATGTTCGTACCCATCCTGACAAGGACGTATGTCTGGACATGTGCCTCTGTGGCAGGCTAGACAATGCAGCGCCTCTGCCCATGTGATCAAGTAAGTTTCGTCGCCGTTGTGGCACTGGACAACGGCCTGCAGAAAAGCTGAAGAAGCAATCACGCACGGCAACTTTCCCAACCCCGCTGCGTTAGGCACAAGAAATGTGGGTGTGCGTCAAACCCGAGAGCTGCGCATACCCTAGAGAGAGGACAGGGATAGCAAGAGTGTGGATGTAAGTCGCCGTGAACTGAACCAGTGCTGTCACAGCGGATACCGAGACCTCGTGCTCTTTCCCTTCTTCCTTGTCCTCATACAAGGCCATGACCTCTGAGCACGCACGAAATGACTCGCTTGTGTTATCTTCTTGGCATGACTGTTTTTGACGGGCACCTTGTCTCCGACCAGAAACGTGGATTCGCTAGCGGCAACAGACCGACTAGCCTGTTGTGGAAAAATCATGCAGCTGCGGCAGGCTTTTGCAGAACAAGCGGTCCTGTGGAGCAGCTTTGGCTTCCAAGCGAGCCTTGAGCAATTCGAGCTGTGGAGCAGGCTTGCTTGGGCAAAACTTCAGGTCTCCGAGCGCCCTGCCACCAGGTCGGCTTTGCGCCCTGACTTTGGCAAGCCCAATTCGGAGCATTTTTCCTTAAGCTGAGCAACTGTCAGCTTTGCATAGCCTGCAGCAAGGTACAAAACATTACAAAACGGAACAGCATCTCAGCATGCACCGGCTATTCAAAACAAATTGGCCTGTTGCAGGCTGATCTTCTACCTCCACGGCTGGGCTGGCTTCTCCTTCAGCCTGCTGGCGAGCCACAACGCATCGTTGCGCTCTGCCGTGCCCGCAGCAGCCGCCTGCTCAAGCCGCTCTATCAAGTCTTTTTTAAGACCTGATGTTGGGAGACCTTAGCAGGCGGACGCAAGTACGACTCGGAATCGCGGGAATCTTGTGTTCCAGCCTCGTTCCCTCAGCTTCTCCTGATGTCAGTTCAGAAGATCAAACCCCGCATGCTGAATGGGCAGGAAGATGGACCTTGAGCACCGCAACCGTCAGGTGCTTTGCGCCTTGGGCACAAGTGTGGAACGGGGTGGAACAGCCAACCAGAGTACCGAACACGACGAAGGGAACCGAGGCCCCAACCGGCCAGCGCGGCCGACCGTGCCTGCGCAAGGGACAAGCCCATCCCTTGGCGACATTTCTTCTGGCCAGGTTGGAAGCCTTCCTAGTTGGGGCTGAGCTGCTTCGGATTCCCTGCACAAAGGCAGCCTTGGTCTTCACAGAGTAGCCTCATTCAACATTGCCTTTTCTGAGGCTGAGCCACGAGCTGCCAGAGTGCAGGTCCCAATCGCCAGCGAGACAATTAGAAGCCGTGACGCCTGGAGCCCAATTCCAGACACCTTCCTTCGGGTACAGTGGCTCAGGTGGCCTTCCATCTGCTTGTCGAAATCTGTTTCTTCCGCATGGTTACGGTCGAGCTAAGACATGCAAACTATGCTGTGCTTGCATGTGCTGCTATTCTGGATTGGACGCTCCAGGAAACACACAGGAGTCGCGGTGCGGGCTTCCATGGGTGATGGCTTCCAGCTAGATGCCCAAGCAAAACAGCTGTCTCGCGACGTTTCAGAAACCAGCTGTTCCTTGTCCAGTGAAGCACCGATGCTGCAAGCAAAACACAACCCTTTCCTTGTGGTTTTAACATGTGCGTCCTCAGATCTGCTCGAGTCGCAACTGGATTGCAATGTGTAGTGGAGCTAAGAGAACAGGATGGCATAATCATCAGTCTGCCCTGAAATGGCACAAGATCACTTTTGTGCAACGGTGCCTGCCCTCCCATCTCCTGACAGCGAAGGCCACCTAACACTACATGCTTCCACAGTCCGGTCCGCGGGCCCTATGAAACAGTTCTTTGAAAGTCACTTACGATGTGCCAGGAACTATAACGTCAGTCATCTCCAAGACAGTGGAAGCTTCCGCCCGAAAAGAAAAGCACAGCTGCCCTGACACCACGGATAATTTTGGTGGCAGAGGCTGTGCCCAGAAATGAGTTTGGCCTTCGCATACTAACATGGTGATGATCTTATGGTACAGGTCCCGCTTCGGGAACCAGAAGTGAAACATGCTTGGTGACACAGCTGTTCAAGAGGGATCAGCCTGCAATGCACCCATCATAACAGTAAGAACAGGAATTGGAGTAATACCCAGAATAAAAATAACAACAACATAATATACGGATAATAACGAAAAACAGGGAGTGCTCATAGTACATCTCCTATACGCCCAGGTTGGACCACATTCATGGCTATGCTAAGCCCTTCATCTCGAGGGCCAGACCTGTGGGGGCCAATGACAAGGGTCCTGGTCCTGGGCCTCAGTTGCCCATGGTAGAAGCCAGGCAATGAACATCTCGGTCTGATGATACTATGTTGCTTGTTACTCTCCACGCCTCCCATGGCTACGTTCGGGTACATCTCCCGAAGCATTGCGCTTTGCGCCTGGCATCGATGATTCGCCAAAATCGTGAGGTCTTTTCATCCCGCTGATGCATGAAGGCCGCCTGGATGGACGGGTTGATGCCTGGCATCTGGAGCTTGCCAGAGTGTTTAGTTGATGCTTAGGCGATGGTCTGAAGGCATGCACGAATGAGGATGCGCAAAGATGCGTTGTCCGTGCACATCCCTTGAACACTTGCCACGAAGCCCACTAAAACCTGACAGTTCTGCCGATGGGCACTTGCCCTGGCCCCCGGTGACCGGAATGGCGTGACCTGAAGAAGGGTCGAATTCGGGACAACCTGTCGTGGTGCGAAGCAACAAACAGGTCGCGCCCCTTATGGAAGGGATGAGGTCTCTCACCACCTTCAGGCAAAGCCAAAACAATGGCGCGTATTAAAGTTTGGGTGGTAATGGCACCTTGATCGTAACCCAGAGGTTCCCAGGATGCCTTGTGGCGATGTGCTTGCGTGAAAAGGAAGTGCCAATTCGCATTTGAGAACGGCATGGCCTGCACGTTCAATCCTCCTCTGCTTATTGGTGGCGGAGATGCCTCAAATGATAGATCCCCAGCTTTGCACTTTTTCACGGCTCAGCTTCCTTCATGGCAACCTGATGTTCTCAGAGCGCCGCGAGCATTCGCCCGCCCCAACCTCAAACCAACGACGACCAGCCATATTCAGCATGAGACATCCATGTCTTTCATTGGCACACAGGGTAACATGGCTACTGATCAAAACCACGTGC